GTGCAATTGTGAATGGGATCAGTTTCTTGATTTCTCTTTCTGTTGCTTCATTATTGGTGTATAAAAATGCAACCGATTTCTGTACGTTGATTTTGTACCCTGCAACTTGGCTGAATTCTTGGATCAGTTCTAGTAGGCTTCTGGTGGAGTCTGTCGGGTTTTCTATGTAGAGTATCATGTCATCTGCGAAGAGTGAAAGTTTGACTTCCTCTTTGCCAATTCTGATGCCTTTGATTTCCTTTTGTTGTCTGATGGCTGATGCTAGGACTTCCAGCACTATGTTAAACAACAGTGGTGAGAGTGGACATCCCTGTCGTGTTCCTGATCTCAGGGGGAAAGCTCTCAGTTTTTCCCCGTTGAGGATGATGTTAGCTGAAGGCTTCTCATAGATGGCTTTGATGATGTTTAAGTAGGTTCCTTCTATCCCAACTTTCTCGAGAGTCTTTATTAAGAAGGGATGCTGTATTTTGTCAAATGCTTTTTCTGCATCTATTGACAGGATCATATGGTTTTTATCTTTTCTTTTATTGATATGATGGATCACATTGATTGATTTGCGAATGTTGAACCAGCCCTGTAACCCAGGAATGAATCCCACTTGATCTTGGTGGATGATTCTTTTGATATGCTGCTGGATTCGATTTGCAAGGATCTTGTTGAGAATTTTTGCATCCGTATTCATCAAGGATATTGGCCTATAGTTCTCTTTTTTTGTTGGATCTCTGTCTGGCTTGGGAATCAGAGTGATGCTGGCTTCATAAAATGAGTCCGGGAGTTTTCCTTCGACTTCTATTTTTTGGAATAGCTTGAGAAGAATTGGGATTAATTCTGTTTTAAATGTCTGGTAGAATTCCCCAGGGAAACCATCAGGTCCAGGGCTCTTATTTGTTGGGAGATTTTTGATCACTGATTCGATTTCTTCACTCGTTATGGGTCTGTTCAGGTTTTCTATTTCTTCCCGTGTGAATTTTGGTAGTGAGTGTGTGTTTAGGAATTTGTCCATTTCTTCTAAGTTGTCCAATTTGTTGGCATATAATTTTTCATAGTATTCCCTGATAGTTGCTTGTATTTCTGAGGGGTTGGTTGTAATAAGTCCATTTGCATTCATCATTTTGTCTATTTGGGTGCTCTCTCTTTTCTTTTTGATAAGTCTGGCTAGAGGTTTGTCAATTTTGTTTACTTTTTCAAAAAACCAACTCTTGGTTTCATTGATCTGTTCAATTGTTTCTTTGGTCTCTATGCTGTTTATTTCTGCTCTAATTTTTACTATTTCTCTTCTTCTACTGGGTTTAGGGCATTCTTGTTGCTCTGCCAAACCTGAGAAACTTCTAAAACTTCACTGGAAAAGGGTTGAAAAGGCCGGTACTAGAAGAGGGCCATGGACATGGCTGCTTTTGCCCTCCTGTCTTAGTCAGGTTGGGCTGCCATTACAAAACTCCTTAAACGGGGTGCCTTAAACAACATACATTTATTTTCTCACAGCCTTGGAAGTCCCTGATCAAGGTGCCAGCCAATTCACTTCCTGGTGAGAGCTCTCTTCCTGGCTTGCAGATAGCAGCCTTCTTGCTGTGTCTTCACATGGAAGAGACGGAGGGAAAGAGCTCTCTGGTGTTTCTTCTAAGGCCGTTAATGCCATGGGCACTAATCCCTCATGACCTCATCTAACCCTAATTGCCTCCCTAAGGTCCCATCTCCAAATACCAAAACACTGGAGGGTGGAGCTTCAACATATGAATTTGTGGGGGACACCAATATTCAGTCCATAAGGCTGCCTAATATTCATTCCCCTTTCAGGGACCCGCGCCCCGATTTTCCATTTGGGAATCACCCCTCCCCAACTCAGTTCCTGTGGGTCTGGAGAACTACTCACACGAAACTACATGGGTAGGTAGAAATTGGCCTGTCCAATAAAAATATCTACCCCCTGGACATAATGATTGTTTAAAAGGACCATGACCCATATATGGACCAATCATAGGGCCAGTTATGGACTGAATTATGTCCCCATCAAATTCATATGTTAAAACCCTTGCACCCAATGGAACTATATTTGGAGACAGGTCCCGAAGATAATTAAGGTTAAAGGAGATATAAGGGTGGGACCCTAATCCCATTAAGACTGGTATCTTTATAAGAAGAGGAAGAGACACCATATGACCCTCCAACTCTCTCTCACCTCCTGTTCCCATGCACAGAGGAAAGACCACATGAGGACACAGTGAGAAGGTGGCTGTCTACAAGCCAGGAAGAGAGGCCTCACTAGAAACCAACGCTGATGGCACCTCGATCTTGGACTTCCAGCCTCCAGAACCATAAGAAAATAAGGCTGGGCTGTGCCTGCTTTGAGCACCTGTATAGGCCTGTACCTGAAATAGGTTTTATGTCTGCATGCCACAGTTACACAAGCCAATGAATTCTTTTTTTTTGCTTGAGTTTAGTTTCTATCACTTGCAACCAAAAATATTGACAATTACAGAATCAACTCTTATTACATTCTTTCGTTATATCTGAACTGCGATATCATCATAATTACATTGGTGCAAATGAGATGTAGTCAGACAGGGACACTCTAATTGAAGCTTTGGAACCTCTACTCCAGGGTAGGGGAGCAGAGAAGAACTTGGAGATTCTTAAGTTCTCACCAGCTGCTTGGAGACCATGCATCTGGCTGACCTTCTCGTAGAGTGTGAGATCTCTAAGAGGGGTTATGGAGTCCCTTGCTCCTCCAAGGGGCAGTCTGTCACACCCAGAAAGCCCCACACCAGTGCAGAAATCTCACTGTACTGGGCAGCAGGTCTGATGCATGGAGACTCTTCTAGCACACCAGGCCAGCACATGGCCCTTGTACTGCCGAGCATCTTGCTTAAGCTCTTAAGTGTTCATGGTGAAGTGACTGACACAGAGTAGCCACCAGCAGGGAATATTTCCTCTCCCGAATGGATGGCACGTTAGCCAACAGCAGTCAGAGAACTGTGGCAACCTCTCAACTCTAGCAGACTCAGGAAATGACAGAGGTTCTCAGACTTCAGCATGCATCTGAATCATGTGGGAGGTGATGGGGCGGGGGGGGGGGACAGCTTGTCAAAACACAGATTTCTGAGCCTCACCCCCAGAGGTTCTTCTGATTCAGCAGTCCCGGTTGGGGCCCAAGAATTTGCATTTCTCACAAGTTCCCAGGTGATGCTGGTGATGCTGGTCTAGGGACAATACATTTGAAAATCACTGATTTAGGGACACCTGGGGGGCTCCGTTGGTTAACTGTCCGACTTCAGCTCAGGTCATGATCTCTCGGTTTGTGAGTTCCAGCCCAGCATGGGGGGTCTGTGCTGCTAGCTCAGAGCCTGGAGCCTGTTTCGGATTCTGTGTCGCCCCCTCTCTCTGCCCCTCCCCAGCTCATGCTCTGTCTCTATCTCTCAATAATAAATAAATGTTAAAAAAAATTTTAAAAAAGAAAATCACTGATTTAGAAGATTCCAAGAGGATTGGATGAAGGCCCCTCAGAGGAGGAGAAATTATCCAGTGATGGGTTTTTTTTTTTAATTTTCTTTTTTTATTTTTGAGAGAGAGAGAGAAACAGAGAGAGCGTATGAGCATGGGAGAAACAGAGAGAGGGAGACAGAATCTGAAGCAGGCTCCAGGTTCTGCACTGTCAGCACAGAGCCTGATGCAGGGCTCAAACTCACAAACTGCAAATCCATGACCTGAGCTGAAGTCAGATGCTCAACCAACTGAGCCACCCAGGGGCCCCTCCAGTGCTGGGTTTTTGTGCTTCCCTGAAAACTTCACTCCAACAAAGAACCTCTATCATCTCTATTGTAAATTCTGAAGTCTCGTAAAAGGACAGGAATGATAAATGTAAATCTGCATAAAAAATGATACGCAATAGCAACTTTACACCTGTGGGCACAGAGCTGGGAATGTTACAGAATGCCTGTGTGCCTGTCACGTTGTCACAGCGGCTCCTAGGTATACTCATCTTTGTTTTATGGAGAAAGAAGGAAGTAGAGGTAGCAGGTACTGTGACTTCTCTGAAGAGAAGACAGACATTGGAGTTAATTTTGTTTTTGGCCCTGAAAATTATCGAATGTACATAAAAGTAGGGGAAATAGTGTGATGAATCACCAAATGCCTCGATTTTGGCAATGACTGGATCTCAGTCTTGAGTGTGTGTTAGATTCACCTGGGAGACTGGTCAAACTAGAGACTATATCTCCACATTCTAGAATTATCAGGACTTTGCCACACCAATGACAGGCTTCTAATAGGATAGCACAGGCATCCGATAAATCTCAGAGAGGCAGATTTGTTTTGGTGTTTACAAATGAAGCTAGAACTTAGGCCACAGGGACATTCTGCTCAAAGGGAACACTGATAACCTATCTGGCTGCGGTCGCCCCGTTTAGGCCTGTCTTCATTCAAAAAATAATCCAGAAGGGGAGCAAAACAGCATGTCACTTGGATATCTGCTTCACGGCTTTTAATGGAAGTAAATGTAGGCTCACCTGTGACTCAGTAAATCCTATGTATTTACCCTAGAGAAAGAGGTGCTTATGTGCGTGTTCGTGTGCACGCGGGCGGGCGCGCGCACACACACGCATCTTTTCCGAATATTCACCATAGTTTTATTAAGTATAACAGAAAGATCTCAGATGCACTATGTTGAGTGAAAAAAGCCGGACACAAATGAGAATATTCATTCCTATTTCAAGTAGCGCAAATCCAAAAACAGGCAAAAACGAATCTATAGTGACAGCAGAATATTGTGGCTGCCTGAGGCTTGGGGGTAAGGGGTGAGACGGAGGAAGGCAGATTGGGAAGAAGCACGACGGATCATTTGGGGTACTACTAATCTGGTGGCGGGTACGCAGGTGTCCACAAACGGGAAACTTAATGGAGCGGAACCCGCAGGGTTTGGGCATCTTAGCGTGTGTAAGCTACCCTTAAGTCAAGTACTCTTAGCACACCCAGCCGCACCCACACGAAACCCCAGGAGGCTCAGACCCAGCTGTGGCCCCGCTCCGTAAAGTCCCTCTGCGCCGTCGGCCCGCGCCCTCCAGTCCAACTTCCGCGCGGCACGGAGGGCAGGAAGGCCGCTCCCTCCCCGGAAAGCGCCGGACAGCCCCTCCCCCGCCCGGGGCCGGCCGGACCGGGGTCCCGGCGCGGGTCCCGGACGCGTGCGCCCCGCCCCCGCCGGCGCCCCGAGACCACACGCCCGCGCCCCGCCCCGGCCCCGCCCCCGGCCCGCCCCGCTCATCTGGCCGGTGGGCCATGCAGGGGAGGCTGCCGGCGGGTAGGGCCGGCGCGGGGTCGCACGGAGCCGGGCTGGTCCGCACCACGTGCAGCAGCGGTGGCGGGCCCGGGGCCGGCGCGGGCCCGCCCGGCGCGAGGCCCTCGGAGGGGTCGCTGGACCCCCTCTACCCCCGCACTTATGGGGCCCTGCTGAAAGTGGCGCAGATGGTGAGTGAGGCCCAGGGCGCGGGGCCGGGGGCTCGTGGAGAGGCCGGGCGGGGAGGGGACGCGGGAGGTCGCGCGCCGGGCAGCGGGAGTCGGGCGGGGCCCGCGGGAGCATCGCGCCGCGGGCGGGGCGGGGGACTGCGCCGCCGCCGTCAAGTTCGGGGAGGGCTTCCTTCGGAAAGTTGCGTGCGCTGCCTGGGCCCTGGAACTCAGCCCCAACGCCGCCCTTGCTCCCGTGGGCCCGTGGCTCCAGGGTCCCAAGTTTTTCCACCCACCCCTCGGCGGGGCCCGACCCGCTTTCCGACAGAAACCACAGGCAGAAGTCGCTTTCCGTCTTCCTTCCTCTTCTCTGGGCCGCCCCGCTTGGCACCCGAGCCGGGGGTGGAAGAGTAGCTGAGGCGGCGCAACCGACCTTCTCCCCCTCGAGGCCTCCTCTTCCTCCCAACCCAGGGCGCAGGGCTTCCCAGCTCAGGGCGCAGTTTCGCAGAGGAGAGAAGTTCGAAGGTCTTGGTAGTTCAGTTCCATGGTAGGCAAGAGGAATTGGGACCCTCCGGGCAGCTCTTCTGGACCCCCGACCTCTCAAGTTCAAGGGAGCGTCCATGTCTCGGGGGTCTGCCGGAAGGCGGAGGATCAGTGGGGAAAGTCCTTTTTGTGGAGTCTGCGCACTAGTCTCCCTACTAACTGTAGGAAGTATCCAACCCTGTATTTACTGCTTTTCCACATATATATACATACTTAGGATAAAGTTTAATTTATCAGGCGTAATAGGAGATTAATAACAATGAATAATAATAAAATAGAACAATGACAATATGCCGTAATAAAAAAGCATATGTCTCTCTCAAAATGGCTTCACGTCCTATAATCACCCTTTTTGTGATGATATGACATGATTGAAATGCCTCCCCCATGAGGTAAAGCTAGGTGGATGGTGTAGGCATCCTGACATTGCATTAAGATCCCCAAAGTTGATCTTGTCTGGTCTGTTTCTCTTGGTCCCCACCCTTTTCTTTTTTCCCACTTCTTTTCTTCTTTAAACACATTTTCATCTTAAACACCTTTTCCATTTGTTTGGTATGTTTTGAAACTAGGTTGGGCTGTTGGTGACTCTCCACTCGTTGTAGTGTTTGCCGCAGGAATTGTGGAGGGAGGAGTTTTGAAGAGGGATGTGGGGACAGGGATGTGGAGATGGGAACAAGGTTACACACCCAGAAGCCGGCATCTGCTGAGGTGGGCCAGCCCCAGGAGAGAGTGAGAGCTGCCCCGTGGACCCATACCACTATTATTCTGGTGTGTGTGTAGGGGGTGCTGTCATTTCCTGCTTGGGCCAGATCTGAGGGGAGGGGAACTGAGTTCCTTTTTCTCTAAGAAGGGTGTCTAGATGGACCAAAAATTAGGAAGTTGTTAGCTACTGCTAATAACAACAACAACAGAAAATTGGGCCGAGCAGGGTTGGTTTTGAGCAAGACATTTTTTTGGCTCATGGTAATATTGCTAATCAGCTAAATAGAGGGGGCCAGCCTACCTCTTCATTCGTAAAAGATGAGTGGGGGTGAGACAGACCCTAAAGCATCACTGGAAGACATAACCATGAATCGAATAATGAGTTCAGTGGACAAAAGTTGGGATCAGAACCCTTCCTCTGGTTCACGAGTTTGATGGACAAAGGCAATGGGGTTAAGAAGGCTCCATGTTGGTCCACGAGTTTGGGGCATAATGTCTGTGGAGAAGAGAAAGCTCTGTTTCATTGTAAGCTCCTCAACTGGACTCTTGCATGTGGCCCTTATGCCAGGTTGCAGGTGACAGTCACGGGGCCTCCTGTTCCATAGAAGAGAGTAAAGACTTGGAGAGATGCTTCTCTGCCCCTCTTAAAACCATATTTGTGGGATGCTTATGCCTTCCTCCTCCCTTGGAGGTCCCTGATGATGACAGGTTTGAACAGACCCCTTGAAAGTAACCTTGCAGGGTGGTCCTGTTACAATAGACTATTGAGGATTGTCTGCCTCGGCCTCTTGCCTAACTCTTCCCCATTCCCCTCCTTTTCCTCTCTTCTGAGGTGCCTGCGTAGACATTTGATGTTCTCTTCTTTGCTGGAACACGCGTACAGGGTCAGGAGTTAACAACAGTGGGGGAAGGGCAGGTGCAGCTGAAAGTGGTGCCACAATTGGACGCTCTGTCCGTGTCTCTGATTTTGACTCTCGGTGTCTCACCTGCATCCTGAGTAGACTGACCTTTATGTCCTAGGCTTCCTGCAAAGTGTTTTCTTCGTGGTCTGATCAACAGACCTGTCAACATATTATCTTAAGAAACCATTGAAAAGGCTGTTCTCTGTGAGAACAACTTCCTTGCTTTGCTCTAAATCTCTCCTGAGGACCGTCACCAGCCTAAAGAACTGTGTTTCTTTGTTGTAAACAGCTATATTTTTTGGGTCCTATTATTTGTTCTTAATAATGCACTAGGGATCCTATACCATATGCCACGTATGTGGCGTTAATTGTTTTTAAGAATCCAGTGAGGTAACATATTTTGACAAAGAGGAAACCGACTGAAAGGTCGAACTAGTCAAGTCACACAGCTGTCAGCAGCAGAGGTGGGGCAAAGCCAGGCCTGACTGACCTCATGTCCCCAAAGACCCTGCAGAGTTACTGCTTGTTAATAGATCTGGGGAAATCAGTGCCACAGCGAGATACCACTTCACACCCGGTATGATAGCAACAATAAAGAAGACACCCTAACAAGCCACCTTGATGTGGAGGATGTGAAGAAATCAGAACCTTCATACAGTGCCGGTTGGCTGGTGGGAATGTAAATGGGTGCAGACACTTTGGCAAATAGTCCAGCAGTTCCTCAGACTGTTAAACCTTGGAGTTGCCATATGATCCAACGGTTCTACTCCTGGGTATGTACTCAAGAGAAGTGAAAACACAATTCCACACAAAAACTTGTACGGAGAGGTTCGTAGCAGCATAGTTGATAATAGCCCCAAAGTGAAAACAACCCATATGTCCATGAGCTGATGAATGGGTAAAACAAACGTGGTCTATTCGCATGGTGGAATATTAGCAGAAACAGGAATGAAGTCCTGACACTTGCTGCGACATGATGATCCTTGAAAATCTGTCAAGTGGATGAAGCCAGACACAAAAGACCGCACATTCTATGATTCCACTTAACACGGGGTGTCCTGAAAGGGCAAATTTATCGAGACAGAAAGTAGATTCGTGGTTGCTTAGGGCTGGGGAGCCTTGGGGGCGGGGGGGCAGGCAGGGGGCCTAAGCTGAAGGGATGCCCTGACATCTGGAAGGGGTCCAGATGCCCCTGTGTGTGACCTTGCCAGCGGTCCCCATCAGTTCACTTGTTCAGCAGATATTTACGAGAGCCACATTCATACTCATTTCTGCAGAGGCAGGAGGCTGTGACCCAGCCCTTGCCCTCATGAAGTCTGTGGTTTCGTTGAGGAGACAGATGAGTCCCGGAACTGACTGGTCAGGGAGATAAAAGCTCTGATGGTTGCCTACACTTAGGAAGGTAGGGAGGAGGTTTGAAGGTGAAGGTTACATTCGAGTTGAGTCTTGAGAGAGGAGTGTGGGTTTGTGAGGTCAGGAGTGCCCTGTTACCTCTCTGCTGCCTCCATTCAGTAGGTTTACGCTGGAGACCGGGGATATGTTGGCGGTGGTGGAATGGAAGAAAATAAAGCAGGACACGAGTCACTCCTTGGGCAGTTGTTAACCTCCCTGCCCCTGACCTCTAGAAAAGGCGTCATCCTTTTTATTGGGAATCTGCTGTCCTCTTACGTGAGGCAGGCAGAAGATAGCAGTTAACGGGACACTTTCTGCCCATGCAGACAGTCCAGGACTGTGACATTTGCAGAACCAGATGGAAAGAGGATCAAAATGTCACTTCACAAGCAGCAAAGATGGAAACTTAAATGTCTTTCAGAAGTTTCATTTATTCACTCAGCAAATATTTGAGCACCTATCGTATGCTAGAATACTGCAGAAAGAGGAGTAAATAAGGCAGATCAGCCCCTGTCATCCTTCTGATACTCAAACAGGGAAAATAAACATTAATAAAATGATTATAAATATATAACTATAAACTGGGACAGAAGCTCTGAAAAAGAGGTACTCAGTATCAAAGAGAATTAACTAGGAGTCTGACCTGTCTGGGAGATAAGGAAGGGCTTCTCTAAGGAAAGGATATATGAAGGATGAGGGAACAGCATTACCAGAAGAAGGAAAAGCACAGACCATGACTCTGAGTCTAGAGAAAGGAGTATTGCTGTGGTTGGAGGGGAGGGAACCAAGATGGAAGTGGTTTGGGGGAGACTGGGGAAATACGCAAGGCCCACCAGACCAGCCTGGGGTCCTGAATCTAAGAATATCAGGGAGGCTATCATGTCGTTATCAACGCACTATTGAAGTGGTTTTCAAGCCAGGGCTGTACTGCCCCCTAGAGGTTATTTTTGAACTTTATGGAAACTCCTTTTTGGTTGTCACAGGGATTAGGATCGTTTGATGCATACATTTTATTCATTTCAGGATAGTAATGAGGGCGTTGTGAATACTTACTATCCTAAAAAGATGTTTTATCTGAAATAAGATTAAAAGAGCCTACTACGCAGGCTGCGTGGAAGCAGAGTGGGTGTGTGAATCTGGGGAGAGTACACTAAGTTTTCAGGCATGAGAGAGCATTCTAAATAACCTCCAGCAGGCCGGGCAATTACGGACTTCTCTCTGGAAATTCACAGCCCAGTTCCCAAAGAGAATTGGACTGCGGGGGAGCTCAGCCTCTGCTTTAGCCCTGAATAGACTTACGCGTGGAGAATGACCCAGCATAGCCCAGAACGGTCCGCCTCTCTTTGTTCTGCTTTAGGTCTGTGTAGCAGGGGAGAGCACCAGTTTGGGCCCCAAATGCAGTCCACACACCCGTGTCCTGTTTCCTGGAAGCCGGACAGTTAAAGGCAGCAAAGGACCTCACTGCCAAGATTCCTTCACTCCCAA